CCCCTTTCGCCCCCACCCCCCCCCCCCCCCCCCCCCCCAAAAGATATCTTCTGTAAATTTACTGTATTATTTATACAATTCATGTGATACTATGTATTGAATAATCTAGAGAACAGGTGCAGTGTAAATCTTTACAGACCTTGAGGATGACACTAAAATTCTTAATCCTTAACACAAGAGTTCAGGTTGCACCTTTGTAATATCTTTCCTGGCAGTCAATGTAAATGCAACAGAAATGGATATTTATGCTGGTCTTCATTCCACTAAATATGAAATATCATTTCTTGCTTCATCAGCTGCATCTGAAACTGATACCCTAGCTTTATAGAGTGCATGCAAGGAAACAGGAATCCCTTAAAAAGGACTTACTGTCCTGTAACTCCATTAATTTCTAATTTAGTCAGGGTAAAATCATCCTGAGAACTGTGCAATGGCATAACTGTCAGCAGTAGAATCAATGAAAGCAATACAGCTTTTTATTTATTTGGCATTACCATAGTATCTAGGAGTACTTGGCAAGGCCAGGACCTTGCTGCGTGAATGATGAATTTTATGGTAAATTTAAAGCATGATGTTAAAATAGCAACTCTTCTGTAGATACAAGCAGCTAACTTAACAGAGGCATATACAATTGCATTAGCATCATGGAAAGAAGTGAATCAAGTTTCTGAAAAAGGGTATTGGCACATTATATACTATGTACATGAATTAAAATGACTGTTATTTTTGTCTACTCAGGAAACACAAGACCCTTGCATTAATAAAAGATGGTCGTGTTATTGGTGGTATCTGCTTCCGGATGTTCCCCTCTCAGGGATTTACGGAGATTGTTTTCTGTGCTGTGACTTCCAATGAGCAAGTCAAGGTAAAAATAAGTCTCTGCTAGTGTTCATTAAATGTATTTGAGTCCCCACCACTGTATATGCTCCTAATCTTATTAGTCACGTTGAATATGTTGCAGAGTTGCTGAACAGAGTTTGAAAGATACAGTGATTCAGAATATACTACACAAAAGCTCATGTGCAGATTTAGAATCTTCAGCATACTAGTAGGATTAATAACAACAACAACAATAATAATAATACTAAATCTTCCTCAACACAAAAATAGGGGTCAGCTGTCTCCCATTCTTGGACTATTCACTCCTCTGAAATAAGTATTGCTTGTGTGTGACAGTAATTTGTGTTCAATCACATTGTGATGTTACATGATTTGAATGAAAATGAGGTATATCCAAAATTTAGGTTTAGTTTTGCATCTCAAAATAAGCACACGCGCTGTTCTATAAGGTCTTTTTTGTTCTATAAGGTCTTTCATTTCACAAAATGTTCTCAGAGTGTTGAGAATTAGCTGCTATGTTGAGAGAGCGTGGAGCCCTATGAATACAGGAAATTCCTCCTGCTTTCCCAGGGGCTACAGGTGGATCTATGACTGCTTGATTCAGGATTTTGCCGTTAGATGGTGCTATAGCTTTATGTTTTTCAGTTGAAACTGTTAAGAGCAGAGATGTGGATTAATTTAGAGTTTGTAGCAGTTAAACATGCAGAAATTGTGTGCCCTGCTTTGAAGGGAAGAGCTCTGAGTGTGGAAGGGTAACACAGTGGGATTGAAAGCCTGTGACAGTTTTTAGTACTTGGGTTATATTTGATTTTATTCAACTCTGGTGTTAGAGAGCATGTCATACAGAGAGGCCTATAAAGAGGCCTGTCATAAAAGTATCCAAGTGTTTTAGCAAATTCAAACAATAACAACATGCTTTAGGTACGTCTATCCTAAGTTTGGATAATTTGTAAAAGGTGTTTTCCTTCTACTAAAACAACCAACTGCACTACACAAGTTAAGCTGCCAAAGGTGTGTTGCGATCCTCTAGGAATAACCTTTCAGAATATAATAGAACAAATAAATCTCACCCCTCAGAGAGCTTGCCTAGGTTGCATATGCACACATAATGCACAATACCTGCTGTTACCCTCTGGGCACCTCGCTGTATGTGAAGATCCATTGACTGTTTCTGAAAATTGGCCTTCCACCATTCCTGTATGAGTAAGGTGACTCCTACCAGCAGGTAACTGAGAAAAACTGAATGTTCACACATGGGTGAACTGCCTACTCTTGGGAAAAATAAATTCCTATTTTAACTCAATTTGAGGCTGGAGTAAGAAATATGGGTACTGTTTTCCTTTATATGTGATATTTAAAAGTTGGATTGGTTTTGAGATAGTTTGATCCCATGTTACAAAATTAGTTTAAATTTTACTGCACACGGCTTAGTTTCTTTTTAGGATTGCTAGACTTTGGCAAGTTTTTGTGAGAACGAATAAATCCTGTGAAGATTATAAAAATAATAAGTCAGCAGAAAATGTTTGAAATAACTGTCATCATAATTGCTGGAATTTCTTTGAGACACAAAGTTGACATTTTTTGTCAGAGATTAGATGCTTTAGAATTACTGGAATGAATTGCAGTGTTTCAGGTGTAAATAAAATGTTGGCCTCTCATACGCTGTTCCTTTCACCCTGCTGGTGAGAAGGGAAGTGAGGAGCTTGGCTAGCTCATGTACTGCTATCTTGCATTTAAGGAAAATATTTTTCATTAAAAATTTTCATTCAGAGTTTTTGTCCTCTCCAAAGAATTTGAGAACTCAAATTGGCAATTAAAAAGTCTCTTCATTATCTTGAGCACTTCTGAGTTCTAAGAAATGCTGTACCACTTAACATGTTGTCAGTTGTCAAACCACTTCTTTGTATTTGATGCCATGCATGATGTGTGCCACTTTAACAAGTGAGCATATGGCTTTAACAGCTTCCTCAAATTCAGTGGTACTTACTTCAACGCATATGAGGTCTTAATTTTGAATATGAGGTCTGAATACCAGATGCTCCAAACACTAGCTGAAAGGAAGGACTAATGCACAAATTTTGTACCTAGATTTGTAGGATTTTAAAGAAAATGTGTCACTATTAAATTTTTTGTATTGAGCTTCAGCACTTATCTAACTTGCTTTTAACTGGGTATTTCCATGTTTGGGGCTATTAAATTGTGAATTAAACCAGAAGTATATATTTTCTAATTTATTTTTCTGGCTTATGTACATAAGTGAAAATTTCCCCAGTTTTCAACAACAGGTACCCAAGACAATTCCATGTATATTTCTGTAAGTGTCCAGTTAGTCTCCATGATGATAAAATTGGAACATATGCAGGAACAACACATTATTATGGGCTTTCCTGTCTATTTTACATTTCTTCATCTCACAGTGAAAGGGAAGGCTATAGCTTACTTGGAAATGTAAATAAATGGAACCTTTTGTTTACTTTGGGGTCGAATGAAAATGGAAATTATTCCTGTGTGCAGTCAGAAGGCATAGCTATTTATCTGATTGTGGACTCAAAAATTCTCTGCTGCTTATAATGGTAAAAACCATTTCACTATTCCCTTTTATGCCCTATGATAAGTTCAGATTATAAATCCTTTGAAGCAGAGGTTTTTTCTGCTACAGGTGCACAGAACACAGTAAAACAGAGATCTTGTCTCAGAATGGCCTCTTCTAGAAGGAGTCATTTCGGTATTCCTACTGCTTTGTAGTTTTGAAGTGATATGGCTAAGAAAGGTTGCCCTATTATTACAATATATGTAGTTTTGTTATGGGTGAAATATGTGACTATTAATAGTTGGTATCTAACTTAAAAGGAAAAAAAATGATGTGTGCACCTTGAATTACAGCTTCCAGGACAATGTACCTCTTTAGAGCTACCCCTGGAGAGAGTCTAGTTTTTGGTCTCTTTTAGATTAAAAGTGAATCAGACACTAGAAGGTGTGATATTTTGTGTTCCCTGTTGGGTCACAAAGATACCCTTACAAGGCTGAAAACAGTTTGATCTTGAGTACGCCTCACCATGTTAGTTATGGGAAACTCTTTAAAACAGGATCTAGAGGAAAGACTGCATTTTGAAAAACAGTCTCTAAGAACCTTCGGCCCACAGTTTCTTATATGTGCAGTCCCCAAAGGCTTTGTAACGGCTTTTTCCTCGTGTGTTTCACACAGGGCTATGGGACTCACCTAATGAACCATCTGAAGGAATACCACATCAAACACAACATTCTCAACTTTCTCACGTATGCAGATGAATATGCTATCGGCTACTTCAAAAAACAAGTAAGTCAACGTAAGAAATTACTTGGTTCAAGAAGTTAACATCTAGCAGTGTTGTGCTAAACAACTAGACGTGACAAAGTAGTCAGAGAAAATGCATAGTGCAATTTTATGTGTATATTTTTTATTTACAAAATGTGCTCTGTGTTCATCTTCTGTAATGATATTGGCTTATAACACGTTTTACTTTGATGGAATCATCTGAATATAGGTGTACAGTATAGCCTATAATTTGCCAAGTCTAAAAACCAGTCAAATATGGGTTGGCTGCTTCTGTATTCATTCAGTTCCTTCACTGATTCTATAAGAAGTGTAAGGAAGAACCTGTGGCAGACTAGAATTTACCTGACCAGCTCCTCCTGATTTGAAGCAGGAGGTTCAAGTTCAGGAAGGATTGCAATGTCTAATCTGTCAAATAGATTTGATAGATTAAACAGGTGTCAACTGTCTGGTCAGACGACAGAGCGATGATGGAGTCAGACTATTCTTGGAGATGTACAGCAATAGGACTAGAGGCAATGGACACAAGTTGGATCATGGGAAATTGCAACTAGAGAGAAGGAAATTTTTTTTTTCCTTCCAGTCCTAAGGGTGGTGAAATACTGGAAAATGTTGCCCAGAGAGGTTGTGGAATCTCTGTCCTTGGCAGTCTTCAAGACTGGATGTCGCCTTGAGCAACCAGATCTGATGAGACCTGCTCTGAGCAGGGATGGGGCTAGATGCTCCCTAAGTCCCTTCCAACCTCAGCTGTTCTGTGGTTCAGTATATAAAACTGATACAATTTGCTCTCACACATTCACAATTAATAAAAGCTGGGCTTGTGATACAGCTATCAGATCTGTGCAGACCAACCCTTTTCACCTCTAAAATGTCCCTTCCCCAATTTGAAGATGCTCAGTCTCCATGTGAGTCTGAAGCCTTTGATGGTAAATTGTGAGGCAGAAGTCCTGGTTGGGTTCCTGATTTTTACTGAGGTTTCATAGATACCACTGTAACAGAAGAATAAAATGCAGCCAGATTGAGAGTCCTACACTGCTTTTTATTGTCTTGGTTAATTCTTTTGTGGGTTTGTTTTTCAATTAACTTTTGAACTGTATGAAGACTGTAGTATAACTTTGGAACTTTTAATAGCATTTGTTATCTTATTTTTTCACTTCAAATACAAAAGTAAAAGACAAAAAAATCATCAATTTTTCTGGCTATAAAATTACTGTCATCTCATCAATTTCAACAGCAACTTTCCTTGACTAACTACTGGCATCCTTTAAATATTAAATAGCAAATTTTTGGAAAAATCCAGGAAACTTGTGCACAGTAAAAATCTTTTCCTCCATCTCTTTATCTCCCCTATCTCCCTTCGTTTCCTATACATATAAACAATTAACTATTCTTGTATCAAGTGACTCCCATGAGGTGTTTGCAACACTATGAACCATTGTCTGTAACTCTTTCTGTTGTATTGTCTGTATTTTAACATTATGATGAATTTGGTTCTAAACCATCATAGCAGTTCAGTTAAAACAAATGTAAAAGGAAAATGGCATCATGACAACTTGAGTTTTTTTCTTCTTCAGGGTTTCTCCAAAGATATTAAAGTACCAAAAGCAAAATACGTTGGCTACATCAAGGATTACGAGGGTGCCACATTAATGGGATGTGAATTAAATCCAAGGATCCCCTACACAGAATTTTCTGTCATCATTAAAAAGCAAAAAGAGGTAAAGGCTGAAATGAAACACTGAACATTATAATCTATTCAGATGTTTAGAAACAATTCAGTTAGTGCCAGGTTAGCTCTCTTCATGCTTTGGTGCTTAAAACATCAGAATATATACTTTTATTAGTTAGAATTTTCATTCAAGTTCCAGTGGCATAATTTTTCAGCTGAAGCATTAAATTCTACCTTACTAAATTTAGGATAACAGAAGTGTTGAAAAGTACTGATTTTTTGAGAAGTATTTCATAGCTAAATTTTGTCTTAGATGATAACTAAGCAAAATATTGTTAGAGTGATTTGTTCTGCACCTTTGCTAGTTTTTTTCCTTTTTTTTTTACCCCCAATGACAGTAGCATTCATTAGAGTGACTTGTGAATGGAGTGTTTGTACTGCATGTCCTGTATTTTATTTGAAAGAAAGAGGATTATTTTTTCTGCCACTGTTTTAATATACAAAGCAAGGGTGGGCTGTCTTAAATTCCAGGCTGTCCCTCTTTGGAGTTTATGTGGGATGTTCTTTATTTAGTCCGTAATAATATTCCATACAATAAGGCAGTTTATTAGCAAATAATTAAGATGTTTCCAGTTGTGTTTAAATACCTTCCTTGTTTTTTAAAGAAATACAAATTACAAGGATAATTAGTTCTTACAAGTTAGGTCAAATCTCATGACTTTTTATTTTGTTAAAATGCTTCTTCATGGAACAATTATCTTCCTTCCAATAGAACTATTTGGCCCATGCTTGTAGAAAGAAAGACAATATCTGAGTGCTATACATTTAGTTTACAAGGTTTCTTAACTTCACGCATTGGGAAAGTTCTCATATGTCCATACAACATAGATAATTTTTTCCCCTTCCATTTCTGCTTGGTTGGGTTACTTTTCAGATCCTAGTCTACTGCTGGACACGTCACCTTCCCCTTAGGGATGGGTTGTCGTCAGGGTGGGCAGATAGTGGACGTGTCTCTTGTAGCCTGTTACATCTCAGGCCTGTTTAACTGCAGTAATACAGTTCTAGGCCCAAACCATCGACATGTCACTTCCAAAAACTTAAGTTAGTTTTCAAGATTTTGGCTCTGGGACTGCTTTATTAGCATATGTTATTTTGCATTCTTCACTCTCTCGTTTGGTGGGATGTCCATATTGTTCCAGAACACTTGGAGACACTCCACTTGGAGATGAAGTGCCTTGGTCCTCCAGACATCTCATGTCTACCATTATTAGAAATAAAGCTGTTATTATACACTGATCTATGCTGTTGTACCTTCTCTGAGAATAAATACATACACCTTTGGAAGTGCATCTTAGGATTGCCTGTTTGACACTCAAAATACAGACCAGGCTTTTTATTCTCCCTGTTCCAAGCAAATTTAGAAATAGCCCTCACAGTCTGCAGCTTTATGAAGAATGTTCGCTTGTCTGCTCAAATCAAAAGCAATGAAGAGGATAGCTGAACATAAGTAGAGTTTTGAATGTTGACAGAATGGATTACATACCGATTTGGTTTGCTGCTGGTATTGGCCATTACTGGACAACAGAGTTTTCTAGTCCTGTCCTTTTAGAAGAGAAGCTTTTCATGGGATCTAAGCTTTTATTCAAAGAATTAGAGTATATGCCTATGGCTGCTAAGACCACATCACCCGACACTGGGTACCAGTCACAGACCACCATTTGTGAGTTTGCACTGCTTGATTTGTAGCTCATTTACAGTCATTCTGAAAAATATGAAAAATCCCTTTGTGCAAAGCTTTGTGACCTGCTGACTTGTGAGTAATCAGTGTTACTGATTGAATAGCTTGTTTTAATCAGGAAGAGCCACTAGTTCCTAAATTGCAAGAAGGGTTTAAGGTGGATTTAACAATTAGTTTGAAAGTATTTTGACGTTACGCTGGAATCTGGCCATGGTGCTCTTGTATACTGTATTTTTCTTAACATTTGTAATCTCTATTGAAAGTCTGATTTTTTTCTTTTGCTCTTCTTTGAGAGAAAATACTATGTGTGGGAGAGTGAAGGTCCTTAAACATATATCCATCTTTATTATTTCCAAAGAAAATAGTCTCTCAAACTGTGGTTGTCTGAATGGTTGTGCATTTGTTTACTCCCAGTTATGAAGTAAGCCATTTTGAAAGTGACATATTCAGGACACAAAAGCTTAGGTAAGAGTCTTAAGTGTGTATCAAAAGCACGAAAGCAAATTACTTAGAATTGAGGTAATGAGATTGCAAAGTAGAACAGAGTGTACCCCAGAACTGGAAAAGCCTTTCCTGGCATTTACAAGCAGAGTAGAATTCCGGTTCCAAAGAGTGGCATCATTCTGACTTCCTTGAGAAAAAAATCTTCAGTAAGAGTATATCTGACTGATATCTAAGCAACTCCTACAGTTATATGGAGACTTTGAAGTGAACAGCTATTTCTAAAATTTTGGAATATGAAGATATAAGTGCATTGAAATATGTGCATACAATATGTGCCTTGAAATTTCTGACCAGCTGTGCTGAAGCAGTTCAGAAGCGCAGCTATTAGAATTAGAGCCAGTTCCAAAACCTGCTTCCAGGAAATTTCCTTCCCTACCTCTGCTGCCACCTTCCCAGGAGCTGTGCAGCTTGTGATCAATACAGCAAGCAATGACTCCTTTTCTTCCAGATTTGTGCCTAAATGGGCAGCTGAGAGACTTGGTAGCCTCACCTGCAGAATCAGTGTTTGGCCAGGTAGCTCACCCCTCTTAGCAAGTTCAGGGGATCTATAAGGACCATATGATTAGGAAGCGAGAGTGTTTCTGTTCATCACAGTTCTGCATTAATCCTCTGGGTTACTTTGAGCAAATTTTTTTTTTCTCTCCTGCTTTATTACAGATCATTAAAAAGCTCATAGAAAGGAAGCAAGCTCAGATACGAAAAGTTTATCCTGGCCTTTCTTGCTTCAAAGATGGAGTACGGCAGATTCCTATAGAAAGCATTCCTGGCATTAGTATGTATCAACCTCTTTTAATGTAGAACAGAAGCAGAACAGCCCAAGAAAGGTCTAAGACTAGAAATACTAATGTAGTTACGCATTTCTTTTTTATTAAAATGTAATTGTTTTGGTCTGCTGATTTGATTTCTGTGAAGATTGTTGTGTTTCCATTACAACTGCTGTCTTTGAGACTTCCCCAAGGCATCCCAGGCTGATCCTCTTTTATGTACGTGTTTAATTTTATTTATACATGATCCCTCTTTGATTTGTATCGCAGTGTAGTCAGCAATTTCCCTCTGGCACCACTGTTACGCACTGCATTCCTGTACAAGGATGAGTTCTGTGCTAAACATGGACTTACAGGGCAAAACAGAATTAGAATATTTAAGTATCATCTTTGGGGGGATTTTTTTTCAACTGTGCTTTTCTGCAATTTATTCTCTGTCCCTAGGGAATCAAATTGGATAACACTGACATCATTATTCCTTACAGAGGTTGCGGTAAAATATGGATTGAATTATTGAAAAAATGTGTGTTTCATGTAGGAATATTTTAGAATCTTTTCAGCAGTCTGGAGGAAGAGGCATGTCAGAAATTGAATGGGTCTGTAGGCTAGATGGTTGTGTTAGTAAGAGTAGCTTTTATGAAAACAAACCCGTTTTACTGCAGCAGTGCTGAAATGGCTTATCTTTTTAGAATTGCAATAACTCAGTTAATGTTTTGACCTACTGTAGTTCCCATGTAATCTCTCATGTTGTTGGTGTACAGGAGAGACTGGCTGGAAACCAAGTGGAAAAGAAAGAGGGTAAGTAAGTGCTGCACAAAGTAAAATGATGAAGCAGTTTGGAGATTCCTTTGAGAAAAGTCTCTAAATAATGTAATTTGCTATTTCCTTCTATCCATTGGAAAATAGATAAATAATCTGCAAGGGATGAGTTCTTAAGTGGGTTTGAGGTTTTTTGGGGGGGAGTAGCGTTGGGGGATACGGGGGTTGTTTTGTTTTGTTTTAATTTTATTTCTTTCATAAAATGCTTGAAACTTTGGAGTTGCATTTAGGTAAGAGGCACGTCATAGGAATGAAGATAAGGGATTCAAGCTAATCTTTTGGTATTCATATTTTCTTTCAAGTAAGGAGCCCAAGGATCCGGATCAACTTTACAGCACATTAAAAACCATCCTGCAGCAGGTGAAGGTGAGTCCTAGTTCTAGTTTACCTTCTGTAAAGATTTTTAAATGATTTCCAATATAGAGTTTCCATATTAGATACCTTACTTTTTTCTTTACCAAAGAGCCATCAAAGCGCTTGGCCCTTCATGGAACCTGTGAAGAGAACAGAAGCTCCTGGATATTATGAAGTTATAAGGTTTCCCATGGGTAATGCCATTAACATTTTTTAAGTATAGAGTTTAAAAATCTTGATAGCTGGAGACATGGCAGATAAATTGTAATCTGGTTGTTCTATGTTAAAAGATATATATTACTTGCAGCTGAATAGCTTGCAGCTCTGAAGTGCCAAGAGTATGATGCTGTTATTTGAAATCTATTACTGCTTTGTGACCTTTGTGAAGCATCTATAGTGTATACCAGCAAAATCTTAGTATGCCCCAGAGAGCCCTAGCAAGCTCTTTAATGGTGCAGTCAGCTAGAAACTTTTGGACTGAGCAGGTTTGTGAGTTGTACAAATATGTTCTTATGTGTGGTAACTGGTCATTGCAGATCCTACTGGTATGTTAAAAAATCTCAAGGCAAACTTTCAGGAACACCTGAGCATTTGAATTGCTTTGAAAAACAGATTTAAGCTTTCCAAATCGCATAGAGAAAACCTTTTCAAAAGTACCTGGGTTTTCCTAGTAAGTCTTAGCAGTTTGCTACAATTTAAGTTTAGGGAAATGCTTCATGCCACTGACTGTAAGATAACTATCTTTATATTTTAGATCTGCCAAAGTTGTCCGAGGTGGTTTGTTTGTTTATTTATTTTTATTTTTAAATCATGCAGGATTACTTGCCAAGGGAAGTACACAACTGCTAGTAACATTTTTCTGTGCTTTTGACTGCTGCATTACATAATTTCAATGATGATTCAGTGCTGTTCTAAGTAGGTGTTTATTTTGATTTGTATTGCAGCAGATTTAAAACAGAATCCTGCTCCTCCTTCATTGTTTATGCAGTACTCACCTTCATCTTTCTGATTACAGTTTCTGTACCTTTTATGTTATTAGAGAATGAAATACAAGTTCATTGCAGGCTACTATCAGTTTCTCAGAGAATGAAAGTGTTTGTTCATGCTGTTTTGCATAGGCTCCTAGCCTGTGTATACCAATTTGGCTTAATGATTTTTTTATATTCAACTTATCATTTCCAAATAGCAAATACATGTGTACTTTGAGCAGCCGGCATCCTGTTTCCCTGACACAAATGTATTTTCTAGCAATGAAGAAAAAGAATGTTGACACCCTCCCATGGCAGAGATTTCCCCATATGCTTTTCTGAGCAGAGGCTAGATCTAGACGGCTGTTTGATCTGAAGAGTGGTTACAAAGAACTTACTGCCTGGGTTGGCAAGCCCAAAGTAGGAATGTTGTCTGTACTTTCCTTATTCAGATGTATTACACTGGAGGTAGGGGCAGCAGCTCTTGTTTTAAGATTAAACTGAGGTCTTCGGTTTAGTGTTGCTTTGTTTTTTTCAGCTAAGGAACCCAGCACAACTAAACCACGTTTTGATTCATGATCAACTTTTGCTTTCTTTCTGCTCTCACTGTCAGCGTGATGATACTGTACAAAAATCACTCAGACGTAATTTCAATTAAAAAGAAACAAACAGCATTGTCTTTTCTTATGCTATCCCATACAAGATACATTTGTTGTTACGTTTGCATACAGACTAAATTGTACAATATTTGAGAGGTGTGGCTGTAGATTTTTTTGACTACCTCCTAACGTCAGTTCTCATGTCTAAACACTTTCTTCCCCTGTTTTAAGTGCTCTTTCCCCTGCTTATTTTCAAGAAATACTGTTTGTTTTATTTCCTTTTCATCTGCAACACAAAAGCTCTATGGCTGAGTGACAGATGGAGCCAAACTCTCACTGTAGTTAGAGGAGAACAGGGTTTTTCTCTATTTTACTAAAGTCAAATCTCCCTTAAAAAAACAAAACCAACTAAACAAAAAAAACCCCAAACCAAAACAAAAATACCCACAACTGTATTTTTAAGTCTTAAGTTTTAGGGTTTAATTGCTTTGCATTGGAGGTCTTTGGTCTCTGCTTTCCTTGCAGTACTTGTTGGCAGTAAGTCTTCTCTGTTTCAGCTGTTTGTTTCTGTTACGGTTTCACAAAGGTGCTGCTGAAGCCTGGTTCAAGCATTGCTAAAAAAATAGTTGTTAGAGCATCTGAGGTGAGAAAAGCCCAGGCATCCAGCACACCTCCCACTACTTCTATTCCTGTACTCACTCCTAGAACACTTGTAATGTAGACAAAGTTTTCAAATGCCTGGTAAGAATTACTGGGACAGCGACTGTGTGGAGAACACGGATGATTTACATTATTTAATAGATGACTGATTTTAGTATAAAGGAAAACATTTCTTAACGTTTTATAAGTAAAGGTTTTGTTTGATGCATTGAAAGCAGGAGAGATCTGTTCTCACATGACTCTTAAAAAGGGATGCATATAACTATGAACTTTGAAGATATTATTAAAATATAAGTAGAGCGTGGAACAAAGTATTTTTTTCAAAGCTGCATGTACTGCATGTGGTATAGACAGATGTCTCGTCTCTGCTGTGTTCACAAAGAAGTGAGGATTTTAGGTTAATGTACATGTTTTTTGATGTTTGCACTCCTTGCTTATATACTCCTTAAGGCCTCCTCCAGCAGAGCTGACAGCAGCTTTGCCTCACAGAACAGTTAGAGGAGAGTTAGGGACACCTAATACCCACTGAAAACTCAGAGAAGGATGACAAAACAAAACAATGATGCTTTAATCTTTTAAAGAAGAAAAAAATAAACTCTACACATAGTCATTCTTACAGTGAAAAATTGCTTAGTTCCAGGGGCTCAATTGCTGTTGAAGCTAAAAAAAGGGACTGCGCCTTAGATGAAGGCAATTAGGAATTCCAAATCCTAGCTTTGCCAGTTCATGTTAAATGGCAAATCAGTCTAAAGGGATATTGCATACAAAATGTATTTGAATCAAATGCTGTTAATCTATTTTTCTTCTGTACAGATCTCAAAACAATGAGTGAGCGACTCAAGAATAGGTACTACGTGTCTAAGAAATTATTCATGGCAGACTTGCAGCGAGTCTTTACAAATTGCAGAGAGTACAACCCCCCTGAGAGTGAATACTACAAATGTGCCAATATACTGGAGAAATTCTTCTACACAAAAATTAAAGAAGCTGGATTAATTGACAAGTGACACTGTCTTTTTTTACAACCAAATAGTGTGCCTACTTCATGGGCAGGGGAAGCCATTATGTATCACCTGAGTTGTGGGACGTCAAGGTTTCAAGAAACTTCTGTTTAATACTTAGCACTTTTAAAAACCCTTTTAGTTTTGCAAACATGTATTATACTGAAGTTACAAAAATTATTTTATTAAAATGCTTTATAATGTATTTAATTATGGAAAATTTCTTTTGTGTGCCCATTACCATATGTTCATAATAAGTTTATCAGCTACAGCCTCAGAAACCCCACAAAACATGTGGGAAATTGCACATGTTTGGGAATATGAAGAAAATTCCCAGACAACAGATGTTATAGCTTACCTAATGCAGTACCTATTTGATAAAGTTTTATTATTTTTTTTCCAGTAAAAAAGAAAATAGTAAGGGAAAACAACAGGTGGGGGGGGTCTGAAACACTTGTTTCTTTGTAGAATCTTTTTATAAGATGTTATTTTTTAAAAGAAACACTCAGCTGGTTGAGAAGCTGTGAGAGAACAGCCAGTTCTGAAAAACAACTGCCTGTAATATTTGATAGATGCAAGTTTTTCTATTCATTTTGGGTTTTGATAAATATTTTACCTGCAAATTGTAATCTCATAACCACTATTAAAAAAATAAATCTGGCTAGATGTGTAATGTCATAGTGACTTGGCTTATGCAGGACATAAGTACCCAAAATAACTTCAGAGAATCTCGTTCGCATATACTAGACAATTTCAATTGGCTTAGTAGAGTTAAGGTTTTGATGCACTTCATGATCCACCCTATTTACTACTCTTCACTGAGAAATTATTTAGATTATTTAGCAGAGATAAGACTATCATACACAAAAGAATTCAACATATGACAGCTTCTAGCTTGTACACTTGGTTCTGTGGTAAACTGGATTTTCTACCAAGCTTTATTGTAAATGCTTATTAACTGTGATTATTTAGACCCAGGAACATATTAACATTTTAAAAATTTGTGTTAGTATATCTTCAAATTGAGCACTTATATATATAAAATATATATATTTTGCTGCTTACACTACATTTAAGAGGTACACCTAACTTCCTAATGGAGATCAGTGCAGGCCAAAAAGTTATCACTTGACATTTTCTAATTAGAGTTTGTACCTGTAAATTATAATTGCTTTTGTGAAAAACAGATTTAACTTTCATTCTTGGTGTTTTATATTTACAGATGTTACACTGGTAAAATTCAGTAGTTATAAGACTGAAAAAAACCAATCCTGTGCTGTGTCAAAGAATATATTCCTGCAAAATGCCTGTGCAATGTTAAATCACAAGTTGATTCAGCAAGTAGATGTCAGGAGCTACCTGGAAGTAGTAAATGTGGTACACAAAGTATTCAAAATGTTAACACTAGACTTGGCATAGTGTTTTGTATGAGATTAGTCTGACCTACGTTTGGATCTATAACAAAGGTACAGTGAGTATTTTATTTTTTTTTAAATAGCCAGTACTGGATGCTATAATCCTGTTTTGTAGATTGGGACTACAGATGCACCTGTTAAGCTTGGTATCCTGTGAAATTTTGTTATTTTCAGAGTAGATTTTCTTATCGTCTTTCAATCAGATTGTCTCTTCTATATTGAAACATTTGTTTTCTAATTTAAGAATTAATATTTTCATAGATACTGTGCAATAAAGTTACAGTAGGATATGTGGTTTTGCAAATGCTTTAACAGCTGATGAACTTTACATTTGTAAAATTAATATATTGTACTGGTACAGATTAGTTTTAAATTATATATGTACAAAACCCTACTTATTTTGGTCTCTTTTTTGATTAATTAGTTCTTGCACTACACATATACACACCGAAGCAATTTTGCAACTGAGCATAGTGAACTTACAAGAGTGCAGTAAAGTGCATCTTCCAGGTACACTAGAAAATATGCAAAAAAGCCTCCCAGGTTCACTGGGAGCACAGTGTACTAAGCTGAGCTGTGTATAGAAAGTATAGAAAGCTGTGACCATTCCAAGTAGCATTCCCAGCTCCATACCAACTACTGAGCTACAGTGCTGTTACTCCTGTCTCCTCAACATCTCAAACAATTCTTTGACTTAGCTGTTCAAAAGTTTTGATTTTTCACCTTAAAGCATGCTTATGCTGTTTTCTCATGTGTGTCTACTGAAGTCCTTTATTCATAACACACAATATATATGGGAGCAAACTACAGTCCATGTTGAGCTTGTACTTACCTACTATCACCATGATGTTACTCAGATGATACACTTACTTACTTTGTGTACCATAAACCTTGCACCTGTCCAATACCTGACAGATAATTAGAGAGTATGAAGAGATGCTCCTCCCGCTCCATCCAGTAAGATTTAGTCCTGTGCCACATCACGTAAAAGCGTACTGTTTGGAGAGTAGCAAATAGTAGTCAAAAGAGGCTGAGCTGTTTTCCTGGACACTTCTAGGAATATCAGCTGACATTAGGTGAGCTAGACTACAGTTCTGCCTGCAGTAATTCTTCAAATTTCTTATTCAGAAAAACCCCAGACCCACCACACCTGCACCTTGGGCTGCTCTACTATCACATTGTTCTTTTTCTGTCCCTGATAAACAGCTGTTAGATCTGTTTGCTGAAAGAAGAGAACACCTGAAGTTATATCATTCTGCTTAAGTTCCTATAGTACCAAGGAGTTTCAGAATGAAGATGGTAAGGCCCAGAGCTAGAATTTTAGGATACAAATGGAAGGTTAAGTTTCAGTTCCAACATCCAAAGGCTGTTGTGAACAAATATTTTCAAACACTCAATAGCTGCAGCTATTATTACTGTTGAGAGACTTATGTAAGAAGTTACCAGTAAAACCACATATATACATTTTTATTATAGAAAGAGAGAGATCTTACACCTGTTTAAGTGGGACTGGTGAGACAGGCAATCTTGCAAGACAAATGAAGAACCTGTATTTTTGTACTTGCCCATTATTTATTTTGAATGCAGCTTTCTTCTTTGTATTCATGTATCTATTAATACTTCTTCAGCAAAGAAAACGTAGTTTGAGAGCTCTGCAACCTCAAAATTTTGCTGGACAGTTTATAACAGTGTTGTTCTAGCATACTGCCTATTGTGGTACCAAATGGTACCAGTTCAGATGTGGCAGATCTTCCTCTGGTAAAGGCACTTGGCAAACCAGAACCAAAATTATCATAGTCCTATAATAGCAGTTTACTTTACCCTCCACCAAAGCAGAGCACTCTTCACCAACCTTCACAGATAAATTTGCTTTGTTCCTATCTATCTGGTTGATTATAACTCGCATTCATAGCAGTACCAACCAACCCTAAATTGCTACTTTTGAGGGCTCCAGCTACATAAATTACAACTGGCAATCTTGCTTCTAAACAATGCTTATGCCAGTACAGTATGCCTAGTGCTGACATTGCTACCCTTGAAGCAAATATGGAAAATGCACAAAAAGAACACCCACCAGCTCTGAGCTGTTTCCGAACATAAAGACATTTATTATGAGCTTCAGTATGAAACTACAACTATTACATAAACAAGATCAGCTATTAAAAATATATACAGCTATTAAAAAAAACAAAACACAAAAACATTTGATCTTACATGCCTAAAGTTTACCTTTGCTAACCACTGTGAGATCAAGCAGGGTATAAGTCATGAAATTACATTCACTGTCTTTTGCATCAGATATTTCTGATATACTCACAGATGCATGATGTACGGATACTTCCTCTCAAAAGCATTTGAATGGAATCATTGTAGTTATAAAAGTAGTCTTGTATCTTCTTTATCAATGAGTCACTAGATTAAAAGCAAACCACCTCAATTTTATATCCTCAATATTAAGACACAAATAATTGTATATTTGTGTAAGATGTTGTGCAACAATAACTTCCTGGACGAAAGATTTCCTTTCTTCATGGAGCAAGCATAGTTTTGCTATCATGACTGGAAATATCAACGACAACCAACAAATTTCTCATTGTATTTTGACAGAGATTCTTTCTTAAGAGAACACTGTTTAGCATCTTTTTTCTGCTTGAAAATTGGAGAATGCAGAAAATTTATGTCTGTAAATGGATCTCCTCTCCTGAGTTTCCTGATAAACAAAAAAATAGGCAAAATTGAGTTTTGTTCCCCACATCACTTACTTAAAACATTAACTTACAGCTAGTAAGTTCAATTTCATGTGAACTATTTCATATTATTAACATCAGACCTCTCTTTGAATGTTTTGTTAAGAACTTATTTCCAATATTTAAATAATCCCCTCAAGTCCTCCATTTGATGGAACATCATGAACTTTATATCAAACTGGAAAGTAAGACACCTACCCTGCAATACTTGGTTCTTTATAGCTCACAGTAAGAGTACAGCTTCGCTTGCGTTTTGGAGATCGTGGTCCTTCACCTCCTGGGGCAATAGCTGCATTGTCAGTGCTGGGGAGCAACGGAGTGGTATTGGTAACATCACAAAGATGACCACGAGATGGCTCAGAAGGCTGCCCTGGGAAGAAATTAGGCACACTTAAGACCATTCAGGCAAGTTAGCTTAAAAGAGAATGTCAGTGAACATCCTAGACATGAAGTAACTTTCAGCTATAACTATTATCTTCATCTTTCCACTTAAGAATATATAAGAGGATCAACAAATATTCAGGATTTTAATTTTGAAAAATAAATTAAGTAGTGCCAGGCAAAGTGTGATTTGTTATTCCACTTCTGTCTCAATTTATACTCTTTTTTTCCTCAGCTTTAATACATCATTAAACACATCTAAAATACAGTATTAATTCACTGTTGACCAATTTCTTAAACAAAGCCTATCTTGAATTCCAATTTCTGCTGAGGGATAAAAAAAAAGGCCAGACAGAACAAATCTAATGATTTTTATAACATTCTGTTTGTATTTGTTAAAAAACCTAAAATAAAAGCCTAAATCCCTTAAACAATGTTATCTCTCAAGGAAACAAAACCAATTACAGAACACTTTCTACACTTACTAATAGACTTGTCCCTTGACTTATTGCTTTCAGGCTCTTTTTCATTATGGAGTCTCTGCTCACGCTGTGCCAAACACCTTTTAGACCTTGGCCTTGCATGGACTGGCAATGTATCTTTCTTCTCCACTGAACTTCTCCTTTTTTTCGATTTATTCTTGTAAGGCTCATAGAGGCTATCATCTGAACCTTCTTCAATATCACTCGACTCGATGGTATTAGTTTTGGATAAGTCTTCTTTGTCATCCACACCGGTATCTGTGTCATTCACCTTATTTTGTCGAAAAGGTGTAACATGGACACACTCTTCAAAGTGAAAGTCATAAGCATCACTGGAGCCACCCAAGAAATCAGACTTTTCTTTGGAAGGCACTTCACTCTGTCTTTTTTTTGGTCTTTGTCTGGAAGTATTTTTAGGCCATTCCGTTTTTCTCTTCTGATGCTTCTCTTTCCTTACTTGAGAGTCTTCCCTGCTTTTACACACACGTTGTTTAAGACCAGAATTATTGTTTAAGTTGAACTGCACAGTTTCAGAATCTATCTGCCTCAACACCAGCTCTGAGCGTACCTTGTTTTCATTCAACTGAGAAATAGCTGAATTTATGTTTTCTACAGTATAGTTTTCTA